ACTAAGCGAATGAATCACTACAAAATTGAAAGGGAGTATGTTTGGCCTAGCAGCAGAACAAAATACTTTTTCTGCCCTGAAAAGCCCAGATTATTTAATAAACAAGAAAAACAAACAAACAAACAAACACCCAAAAAAAACCCCAAAAAACAAAAAACAAAAGTAAAAACTCAAAAAACCCTGTAACAGAAATATAGACATTGAACTTGTATAAACTCCAGCAGCCAACTTTGCTGTAACTGGAAATTAGTAGCGTCTTACCAGGTGGCCTGAGGTTTCATAGAGGGTGCACAAATATCTTGCTTGAGATTTGCCCAAAGTGCAGCTGTCCTCACTGGAGGATAACAGAGAGAATACCGCAAAGCATAGGAGGTGTTTAACATCCACTTTTTTGCCAAGTATAATGCGCTGCATGAAAAGGTCAAATGTAATTGCACATGTCAGGAGCCAGCAGAATAACTGAAACTCTTACTGCAGCTCACCATTGCACTGAGTAGCTAAAAAAAAAAGAAAGAAAAAAGAAGAAGATAACAACTATAGACCTGAGCACCAATGTGGATGCTATAAAAGAGGAAGAAAGGGAAGCTTTAGGGATAGCATGTTTTAAATATGCCCTTACATTGTACTCCCAGGGTCAGGGAATAGATGACGCCTTATGTACTGCAGGAATAAGCTCCCTCATAAAAAAACCCTGTGTCTCAATCTGTAAAAGAAAGAAACTGAGGCAGGGGAACCCTGCACTGAACTAGGGACATTTCATTGTACAGCGCCAGCTGCTAGGCTTGTACAAAAGCAGCCCCACAGCCTGCAGGAGCCCCGCTTAGGTCCCTCCCCAACCACCCACAGCACTGCAGCCTACCCAGACCAGCTCTAGAGAGAGCTTGGACAGCCACCCAACAGTTTGCCTTGGGGAATAAAATAAATACATTTTTTTAAAAGAGCAAAAGCTGGCACTGATGTGGCCCTTGGTATTGCAGTCTGTTAGAGGGGAGTGCAGACAGACTGGACGTCCCTTCCTTACTGAGTGGCCTGGACCCTGGCCAGCATGGGATTCCCTGGCCCAAGGACAGGCAGCAGGACCTCTGCTGACAGCCCCACCTTGGGGTGGACACAACAGTGTTGGATGTGATAGTTTGGGTTCAATAACACCAGCGGTGCAAGAACTAGTGGTGATTTTTCAGTTTACATCAGTGGGGACAAGTAATGACATTACAAGAAGACGGTGGGTAGTCTTTAAACACATCAACAGTGTTTATGGCAATCTTAAAAAAAAATGCAAGAAATTCAGTAATTAGATTGATAGCAGGATAAGAGAAGCTTTCCTGTACACTACACATCATATTTCCCAAAAGGAAGGTACGCTGTTGGCCAAAATCTGTGGCCATTCTCAAGTGAAATTCCTCTGACTTTAGTGGAAATTATGCTTTAGAAAACGCTTTTAAATCTTGACTCTTACTTTGTATCTATTTAAGTATTATCTGGTTTTGCACCTGGAGAATAAACAACATATACCATCCTGTAAGTCAAACCATGGAATTTTTCCAAATAACTTATTAACACAATGTCTCAATATATCTCTCTGAAGGGAAGAACCTGTCGTGGAGTAACAAGTATAGCATAAGAAAAAGAAACAAGGCTGTAAAATGCAATAACAAAAAGCCTTTAAACCACTCTACATTAATGAGTTAGGGGATACTGGGAAAAGACAGAGATCCGTCCAAGGAGACAGCTTCCTTTCAGTTCTGCAAAAAAATTTCCTGCAATACCTTGAAAGCAAGAACAACAGCAAACATACTACAGCATGGAAAGGCAGTAGGTTTAAGAACATGAAGGGGGAAAGGGGAAGAAGAGACAAATCAGAGTTGCTCATTAAGAATGAACTATGTTCATTTCTTGCCTGGGTAGTTTTTTTCTGCTTTCTTTTTCCATCTGCCTGTTTGTGGAAAATGGACTAACACCACCCATCTCTCAAAATCCTGCTCCCACCAAACCTGTAAGACTCCCCAGGAGGAGCAGGTACTGTGAGAAGAGACAGTTCAAACAGGGAACATATCATCGCAATTTTCCTTTGAGGTGTTTTCATATTAGCATTTTCTTTGAGACACTTGGTGTTCATTAACTTTTTGTGTACTTTCTCAATCCCCTATTGATTTGTTTACACTAAAACAAAAGACATTAACGGATTTCTTTGGTTTTAATCTGTGCTTTTGGTGACATAAACACGTTGGGCAACAATGATTGACCACTGAGTCCCACAAGGAGTTCTACATTGTTCAAGTGTACCTATGTGGAGCTCACCATGCTGTGAGACAATCAGAGCTTTCAATTACACGCCGAAGCATATGAGAGGCTCTCTATCTACGGCTGTTGTTTCTAAATGTCAGAGGCTGTGCCAAAGCCTAGAACAGACCTAGTTCAGTAACCAGGCTGCTTTTCCTGACCTTCCTTTCTGATGTCCCCACATCCAGGTATTTCTGTCACAGGGTTCACTGACAATCCACTGCAGTGTTTCAACTCTGCTTCGTGACAAGCACTTTTTTCCTAGAGTCTGTTGTTTTACTGATGCTTTCCTTGTAGCTCCACTTTCTGTATGCCTCACAAGTGGAAGATCAGAGAAACAGGGTTTGCTTATCTTTTTAAGCTAAAAATGATGGATCCACTGTAAAATCTCAGCAACAACCCTTTGCCAGAACAGAGTCGTCTATTCCTATACTCAGGCATGCTGCTTGCATAACCTTGGGTCAAGAAAGAGATCGAAACAGGCTTTTAAAATGATAAAACACATCTGGAATATGTAGAGATGGGAGATGATAAGACCTGGATTTAGAGATGCATCTAAATACTGATGTGGCTCTCTGAGGCTCTTATCAGACCTTGATGCTTTATCCAGATCCCAACTGTAAAACAGAATTGTTGTCCTCTCGTTGCTGCAGTAACAATCCTAGAAACACTCAGATCCAGTTAAAACTAAATCTATTTTTTATTTTTTATTTTTTGCTTCTATTTATAAAGTGTAATCATCCTCAACTCCAACAGTCATCTTGAAACAAGGTGTTCAGTGATGAATTCTCCAAGCTCTTATCAGGTGTTTTGTGTTGCCTTTGAAATGTTGGGCTTCCAAAGGGTTCCTTACCTTGTCCTGGTATCAAGGTACATTATAAATCAATCATGCACATTTTGTCATTTGCCCATAAGTCCTAGACAGTCCTGATCTGAAGCCTGTGGGTACTAATAACCAGCAAAAAGCCATTAATATCAAAAGCGCTTTATTAGCTAGCAACACAGGTAGATGGTGTGAGGTTAAACACCCATGACTGTTTTACAGCTGGGAGTACTGTGGCGATGAGCGGCTGAACGTGAAGAGCCTGGTGCTGTGCAAAAGCAAAGCCCTGGCAAAGCTGGGACCAGAGCCCAGCTCTTCTTGCTACCATTACAGTATTAACTTTAGGCCATTCAAATGGTTTCTGAAGGGTCAGTTCCTTCTTTTTTGTTGTTTGTGGCATAAAAAGCCCTCAATCCCGTAAGTCCGGTAGCTGCTTCTGTACAACAGGAGTCCTTCTTTTAGTCCTTCTTGCATACCCATGCTGAGCTGGAGTCATGGATTCTGTTTGCAGTGTTTCTACAGAAAACGGCAACAAAGAGAACAGATACAGATGGAGGGAAAAAAGACTGCTCCCAAATATAAAGAAACACTTGTTTACAGACCCTGCTCTCAGCAGGTCTTCGTGGAAGACCTCGGACTGAGAGTGAAATCACCATGCAAAGCATAGACAAAAGGCTCTGTGTTTTCATACACTTCGTCTTCTTTTCTTTTTTCTTTTTTTGCTAGCTCTTTAGAAGAGACTTAAAGCAGTGGAAAGTTAAACTGAGGGTGAAACTTTGCATCAAAGGCAAACAGTTAATACAAAACAACAATGAATTGGTTCAAAAATTGGCCGTTGATAAAAAAGGAAATGATTTGTCAAGTGCGACTTTGGAGAAACATGGTTTACCTTCTCCACCTTATTTCATGTGATGCCATAGACTTTGCATGGTCTAACAAAAGAAGATGTTGGTAAGAACCATGCCAAACTTCAACCAAAAGCCCTAGGGCTCAGACACACGCTAAATCACCGCAGCTTGATATGCTACCATTTACTGGCTGAAACTGTGACAAAGACAGGCCCCCTTTCTCAGGGAAGGCTGTACCTGTGCCTGCTGCAGGTGATGAAGGTGAATATTGGCATTTCCCATGGCTCAGCTGGTGTGTGGGACCCTGCTCAGGGGTCTTACCCACTCCTGTGTTTCCTCTGACTCCCAAATCAAAACTTTTTCTAATGCCTCCAGATAACAATGATCTTGTGTAAAGAGAAATCTTTTTGGCTGATGTGATTAAGCAGCCTCAGGCCAAAAGCAAGACATGTACCTTAAGCATTGCATATCCAGGGAATATGAGGAATAGTGTCTTTGCATCCTTCTCTAGGCTAAGAGTCACTGCTGCTTACTTGGTTTCTATCTACATTACTGCAAGTAACTCTAACAATACTGGTAACAGCTGCCCTTAACTGAAAGGATCATTTTATACTAACATTTCTCTGCACGCTAGACAAACCCACTGTACAATATACAATCTTGTCTAAATGAACATATTATTTATTTTGTAGCTTTTAAATCAGTTTTATTTACAACAGGCCTTAGAGTACAGCTCACACGCAGTAGTTAAGCTCTGGTAGTACTGACGTCAGGTCGCTAAGACATTTGCAAATTACATTTCTAAGTCATAGAAAATGAAAGAAAAATTACTTTAAAATAACGGTTTTATCTTTGGGTATAAGGATCACAGAACACATTTGCAGGTGGCTGCAAAACCCAGCCAAGGGTGCTCCCCAGGGAGCCCCAGCGCCGCCGGCACGCCGAGCGCTGCGGTGCGGGGACACAAGCGGTGGCGAATGGTCTGACGCGCGCATGGCTGCGCTGTTTGGTTTCTCTCTGTGACAGGGCTCGAGGCAACTCCACATTGTTTAATGGCCCCACTCCTCTTCCCTTTCACTAACTCCCTCTTCTTCCTCGGGGAACGCTGAATCACTCTGACTCTTCATATGCTTAATCCCTGAAAATACAGACATCATGGTTAAAGTTGTGTTAGCTCATGTCAGGTATTTTTTTTCCTGAAGAAAGAAAAAAACAAAAAACCAAACTAATGGCAAGTTTTTTAATGCCCATACTGACTCTCTTTTTCACAAGCTTCTCGGTTCAAACAGTACTATGGTGTATTCCCAACAGAAATATTCTTTTCCTTGAATATAGGCTCTTAGAAAATTTATCATGTTTTGTTGAAACGTGATATTTCTCATGATCAGTACAAGCAAGCAGGCCTCAATGAATGGGCCTAATCCCATCTTCTCAGCTCCACCTTGGTGTGATAGAAGAATTCAGGCTAAAAAAGGAGGAACTGATGGTGCACATCCAAGAGTCGCGGCCCCAAACTCACTTAACCTGGAGGTTCCTACACTTCACTGTTTACGTCCACACCACCCCAAAATATGGGATAGTTTTTTCCAAACACATGACTTGAAAAATTTTCAACATAAGTTATTCCAGTTCATCAGTTACAAATAGCTGAAAACAGGATCTTACAATGGGTTGTACAACAGGAGTGCAGCCGGCTCTGCTTCCAACAGGAGCCCATCACTGCTCTGTGCTGGGCTCTGGGCTCCTCTCTCTATTTTTTTTTTTCCACACAAACAACAGTACTTGGTTCCCTGGGAAACTGTTATTCAGATGTAAAACAAGCAAATAAATTAATGCTCCCAAGCCACAGTACTTGTAAGTGTGCCCTGCAATAATCAAACCATTTCCAATTCAGTAACTGTGATACATGAAGAAACACTTTGGGTGCTCAGCTACCACCAAGCTGGCCTCTAGCAACATTGTTTAGTAAAACAAGCACTTTAAATGTAATTTCACTTAACTATAGGTTAATGGACACTCATTTCAAAATGATAATGAGTTTGTAGGGCAAATTTGTCTCCTGTTATTTACCTCTGGACTTACAGAGCCATTTCTTGCACATTCACAGTACCCATCTAACAGCTGCTGTTCCATACTTCAGACAGGAATTGCTAGGAGCTAGAATGCATCATTTTTTAGGGAGTTTTTCAAAGATGAAAATGGGGAAGTTATGGACAGAAAAGAAGGCCTGTGATATACAGTTAGTATGATGAAGCTTCATGGAATGGCATTTTTGGTAGGCGTGAAGACTTTTGGCTATGTGGTTTAATTGCAATATTCAGTGTGAAAATTGCAGGAAGTGGAGAAAAATTACATCAATGAGCATTACCCATTGATTTTCATGTAGCAGGCACTTATGGATCTTATTTAATGATTTTTCATAACCGCTATTCTACAGCCTGCCTTCACCTCTGCCAGTCATTTAATACCACAGTGTCATTTGGAAGTAAAGACTCACAGGGTTTCCTGCACTGACCAAGTGCACAAGACTTGATGTCGTTATTAATAAACCTGAAGATGTTCTGACAGCATCAAGTTGTCAGAATTAACTGACCCTATGTGTGGCATTATGAAATAAGATGCTCAGCTACACAACAAAATAAGTTAGCGTGAATCGACGTACAAGTAATGAAATTCCTGTCAGTAACATGTGAACATGCCTGATGGAAGAGGCTGGTGGCTTTTCTGAAGACATTCATTTCATGCACAAAGCCTCAGAGCTTTACAGTGCAAAAGAAGTCTGTGGTAATAAAAATACTTCATTAAATGGTAGCAATCATACTCTTAGATTAACAGCGTATCTCGCCAGATAACTGCAGTGACCCGCAGTGGCTGCCAAGGGCGGTCAGAAGGCGTTGGAGCGGGGCATGGCCGGCGCCCACTAGCACATTCATCCACAGCCCCTGCTCAGCTAAAACAATTTGGGCGAAGAGGCCATTACAGTGGCTCTCAAGTGTCACTTCCAGCAGGGTTATTCAAGCTGTGTGCCCTGCCCTTTGTCAATACGAAGCAAATGATAAACAAGTAGCAAGGTGGAGCTCTGTCCACAAAGATATTTGTTTCTAAGTTGGATCTATTCATACCCAGTAACTTTAGCAATATCTAAATTGTTTGCTGAAAGGTTACATTCTGCTAGAGATTGAGTGAAAACTTATTACTCAGGTCACCCCAACTGTTTTTACAACTGCTACTATGGTAATGTTAATTTATTAGAAAGGATATTTCCTTCTCATCTTTTCAATCTTCATACATTGGTAACACAGTTCATGCCCTCAGCTTTTCAAATAGTAATCAAGGGGCACCAGAACACTTGTTTGGGGTTTGTTTCCCTTCATCGATGAAGCATAGTAGTAAAGATGAGCAACAAATATAGACTCTAAGATTTTACTCATTAAAAAAAAAAAAGATAAAGCCAGGATATTTTGGGGGGATATACAGGGGATATTTTAGAATATATTGTTTGTACATAACAGCAGATCCAAGTTAGAAACATCAAGTTACTGGTTCCACGTAAACCACACAAGCTTCATAATATCAGTTACAAGTACTGCAAATGCTGATGCAGTCACCCTGTTTCATTGGTATCCCTTATTCCAGGCAGTGGGTAACAGAATTTGTGGGCACCCTCGCCCCCCTGCAGCCCTGTGCCTGCACCATCCTGAGGCCGTTTCGTTTCCCTCACCGCTCTGCCCCAGCCCGGGTTGCCCTGCCCCGCTCTCCCCTCGCCTGCGGAGGTGGCTCATGGGGTCCCAGTTGTCCCACTGACCCCACGGGACCCCAGTCCCAGCTGCGCCCAACCCAACTGCTGCCCCGCAACGTCCCTGGCTGGGCCTTCGCTCTTCACCCAGGAGGTCTGAGAGCAAAACCCCCCCTTCCAGCCCAAAGGTTGTCCCTTCTCACCATTCCCTGGCAACGGTTTTGTACCCACAGCATGTTCAAACTCACTCTTATTCTGCCTTAAATCAAAGCCTGCCTGAACACTGTCTCTTAGTTTCTTTTCCCCTTCCCCCCCCCACTCCTTTTTGTGCTTCTAAAGCCAGCAGGACAAGAATTGTTTTTCCTCAAAGGGCTCATATTTCACTGCAGGTAATTTAATCCAATTAATGCTGATGAAGAAACCCTTAATGCCAAGCCATATTCAGCAGCCATGCACTAATACACTTTGAACTGGTAATTCTTTTTAGATGAAGTCACTGCCTCAAAGCATATTTCTAGATTACTTATAAATTATGAGTGCAAGTGGGACAACTTTCTGGCATTTTTGCAGTCACATAGTAACATCTATGCTGTTTAATCAACAGCTGTCTTTTTGCTTCTCTCCGTCTGACCAAAGCACCAGATTAGAAGGCTAAGCGATGTCACAAGATATGAAATAACCAAGTGTTCCTGAATTAAATATCTCCTGGAAAAAAAATAAATCGATTCAAGTAATTAAGGCAGCTCCCCATCCTATTTAACACTTCTTCCTTTACCCCGCTTCACTGCCCAAGGAACAGTGTTGACATTTACCAAACTCAGGATTGAAGTCTGGTTGGCAATTTGAATTCCCTGAAGTTTGAAGGGTTATTTAGTTTTATGATTTGGAGCTGATCCTCTCTCTATCAAAAACACATTTCCAGATTTTTCAGAAAGCAGTGAAAGGCAAAGCTGAGCCACAGACAAAGCAGCCTGATTTTCAGTTTCAGAACTCAAATCACTTTGAAATTATCAAGCAAACAAACCTGGCCAAAGAGGATAATGTCCAGATAAAAATGTCTACTTTATGCCAAGCCTAAATTAAATATGTTCTGGTTCCCTTAGCAAAAATGAGAATATCAAAACAAAAATCACGTATTCACACCACTAAACAGGAAAAAAAACTTTTTTTTAATGGAACATTTTGTTTAGAATTTATCAGTCAAATATGTTTTGACTTCTCTGAAATTCCTTCCTCATCTTTTTTTTTTCCCACAACTGAAATGAATTTTTGAATTAAAAAAACCAACACGCCCCTCCAAACTGATGTCACAAAAACCAGCATCCACCACAGGTCTTCGGCTAAGTTGGACGCAGTGGGAGGCAGTTGTGAAGGTGACAGAGCCCCGAAGAGCTGACAGGTCTTCAGGGGCAGCCTCCTCCAAGCACAGGAGTGGCCCATACTGATACAGGAGAACAAGTAGCTGTGTCAGAAGACCATCTTGACTAAGCAGGGACCCCATGACCCAGCTTCATTGCCGAAAAGATGATGTGTACGGTGAATGAAAGTCAAGACAAGGTATAAATTAGGAATATACAAAAAAAATATAGGCCTACAATACAGGGATGGTGTTAGGAAAGATCAAGCTCAGCTTGAGTTGAAACTAGCAAAGGGTGTCAGGGGCTACAGGAAGAGTTTCTTCCCCTACCTTCACAGTAAAAGAAAAACAAGGAAAATATGGGCCTGCAGCTGCGTGAGGTGAGCTATCTAGACGCAGACAAGATCGAGGTGCTCAATACCTTCCTTGCCTTGATCTGGATTGAGAAACTCTACCAGACCTTTGTGCCCACAGACAAGATCCAAGGAAGAGAGGAGAGGTGGAGTCAGCAACCCCTTGAGCACTCTTGACCCACAGAAGTCCATGGGCCTGGTGGGCTGCATGTGAGGGTGCAGAGGGACCAGCTGGTGCCAGTGTGAGGCCATTCTCTGTCATCTTCGAAGGGCTGTGGAAACCGGGAGAGGTCCTCAATTACTCACAGTGCATCAGGTTATGCCTGCAATACTATATTTGCCCCCCCGCCCCTGTACAAGAAGATGTTGATAGACTTGTTCAAATCCAGTGGAGGCCACCAAAGTGGTGATGGGACTGAAGCGCATGACCTGTGAGGAGAGGCTGAGGGACCTGGGCTTGCTCAAGCAGGAGAAAGGGCAACTTTGGGGCACCTAGCAGCAGCCTGCCTGCGCCTATGAGGAGGTTACCCAGAAGATGGAGATGTCTGGTCATGAACTGGAAGAGAGTATATTCTGACTGGATATAAGGAAGAAATTGTTTCACTGAGTATACATAAGCACCCATGTGGTTTCCCAGAGAATCTGTGGTCTCCCTCCTAGGAGATTTTCAGTACTGGACTAGACAAAGCCTT